GCGGCTGATGACGGCGACGATGACGAGGATGATCTTGGACTTGAGCTCCTTCTCAAGACCTCAAGTTCTCTCTTAAGTCTTCTCCTTTTCGTGTGAGGGGTGGGGCTCTTTTTATAGTGTTTGAGTGCAATTAATACAAGAATATGAACCATTTTGATTGGACGGTCCGGAGAGCTCCCTTTGATCAGATGACGTTTGATGGACATTTGAGTGCCTTAATGATGTTGGAATTGAGCACTATTGGGCTCGTTGGATTTGTCTAGTCGAGACGCTCGATTTGACACTGAACTCACTAGATTTGACATCCGTTTGACCTTTCAAATGCTTCCAGAAATCCTACAATCGTGGTTTAATGATTTGATTCGGGCTTGATTTGACTCTAATTGGGTCGACTTTCATATCATTAAGTCCGTCTCATCGAGTCGATCAGTTTGACTATAAGTTTGTTGAAATCGGAGCTCCGGATGACTCTTGATCGAAGTTTAAATGTTTCTTGTTCAAAAAACTATATTGAGATTTGTGTCGGATAATAAAAATTTATTGGTGGTGTATCAGTTGCCCCCTATTTTCGGGCGAGTCCAATTTCATCGTCCGAAAATATCGAAATTTAGATATTTTTCATTTATTAATCTGTGCACAAATACATATAGATATAGATGTATATATATCTCAAATTATTAGTATAACAATTATATAAATCCTTTTATTATAAACGGAGTGTAATTGGTTGAGTTTCTCTTCTTTGTTCAAAAGGTCATTGGTTCAAATCGTTGAGGAATTAAAAAAAAAAAATTTTTTTTTTTTGCTGAATTTCGGAAATTTAATAAAATAGAGGATTAATTAAATGAATAGCGGGCTTAATTTAATGTAACGGAGGATTAATATTGAATGAATAGCTCTGGATTAATAAAATGGAGCTCTACCTTTAGTATAAAGGGAGAATTTAAGGGTTGAATTTAATGTAACGGAGGATTAATATGAATGAATAGCTTTGGATTAATATAACGGAGCTCTATCTTTAATATAAAGGAAGAATTTAATAAAATGGCTGAATTTAATGTAACGGAGCTTGGATGACTCTTCCCAGAAAATCAAAAATTTAATAAATAAAGGAGTTAGTATGTATATACATATGTAAATGTATATTTTATAATACAAATTTTTTTTTCTTATGAGCAGCTGTTCTTTATTCTGATTAGAACAGAGCTTATTGCATGAGGTGAAATAACTAAATATATAAACAAGATTTCCCCTTGGATGGGTTTTGAGAGAAGGGGCGGCGGTGAAGCCAGATATGCCTTAAGTTGTTCGAAAGCAATCTGACAGTCATCTGTCCATTGAAAACCAATGTTCCATGCTCCTCTTAGTATTTTGAAGAACGGCATATACTTATCTCCAGAACGAGCTAAGAACTGGGATATGGCGGCTATGCGACCATTTAATCGTTGCACCTCCTTGATATTCCTTGGAGACACCATCTCTTTCAATGCCTTGATTTTTTTTGGGTTTGCTTCAATCCCATGATGGGTAACCATAAATCCCAGAAACTTTCTTGATGTGACCCCGAAAGCAC